CATCAGCGGCAGTGAAGGAGCTCGCAGTCACGGAGTTGCAGTCGAAGCTGGATATTCTGGAGAATTACTGGAGCCAGTTCGAGGAGCAACACGTGAGGCTGCTCACTGGGGAGGATAGCGCGGAGGTGCTCGAGCACGATTACGTGAAGCAGGGGGTATACGATATCTGTCTGCAGCGGTACTCCACGGCTCGTACGTCGTTCATTCGGCTAATCAAGGCCATTGATGAGACCGCGGACCTCTCGGAGTCGTTTCGTCGACCCGCTGCAACAGTTCCGTCTGCTCAGGTGACTCAAAGGCAGTTAGAGAAGATTTCGCTGCCTACTTTCTCAGGGGACTTCTCCGAGTGGACACCCTTCAAAGATCTTTTCCTCTCGATGGTCGTCGGCAACAATAACCTCTCTACGGTCGAGAAATTTCATTATCTCTTGACTTCTCTTGCTGGTGAGCCAAAGCAGTTGTNTGTACTGCTTGCGGAGTTATACTGATGAACCTCTCCGGAAATTACTTGTCCATGCCCTCATCTATCCTCACATTTTCTATTGCCTGGCTGTCTTCCAAGGTGTAGGCTCAGTACTTGATNAACACGTGAGGCTGCTCACTGGGGAGGATAGCGCGGAGGTGCTCGAGCACGATTACGTGAAGCAGGGGGTATACGATATCTGTCTGCAGCGGTACTCCACGGCTCGTACGTCGTTCATTCGGCTAATCAAGGCCATTGATGAGACCGCGGACCTCTCGGAGTCGTTTCGTCGACCCGCTGCAACAGTTCCGTCTGCTCAGGTGACTCAAAGGCAGTTAGAGAAGATTTCGCTGCCTACTTTCTCAGGGGACTTCTCCGAGTGGACACCCTTCAAAGATCTTTTCCTCTCGATGGTCGTCGGCAACAATAACCTCTCTACGGTCGAGAAATTTCATTATCTCTTGACTNGATCTCCAGCTTCAGCGTCTCATAAATAGAGCGGTTCGCTTTGTCACTGGCCTGCCTCGTGATGCCTCAATATCTGCTGCTAGACGTAGTTTTGGGTGGCTCTCCATCTCGGGATACAGAGATTCTATCATTGCTACTATCATGTACCAGGTGTTGAGCACGAGAAATCCTGATTACCTTGCTGAACTCTTTGCTGCATATACCTCCAGCAGACCTCGTCGACTCATCCTAGCNGCCCTGTCGAGCACTGGGACGACGTCTTGGTGCATATCATCTCCAGCCGGTTGGATGTTAAGAGGTTGGAGGCGTGGGAAGTTAAGATCGGATCCACCACCACCTTTCCAACGTACGCGGAACTCAGGGAGTTCATGCTGAGCAGAGCAAGAGCTAGGGACGGAATTGAGCTGCATCCTCTGCACGCTCCCAAGACGCCAACTTCAAGTGCTAAAACGAGATCTTGATCCTTCGGATGTCGCCGATGCTCGATTCATGAGGAAATCTCATAGTCATACTGACCCTGCTGCTATCACCAATGCTGATGCTCAACAACTGAGTGGTGTGTCTCGCTCATGCATGTCGATTGGGCTGAAACTTGCATCCCCTGAACTGCTGCTTGCAATCATTACCGCTAAGAAAAACATAGGCAGGATAATATTCTCTGATGTTGACAGCACTAGCTTATCCCTGGCTTCTACGCCTCGCAGCCAAAATGGTGGGGATTTTCATATCAACATCAATGAATTGGTCTCCACTAAGACGTACGGATTATTAGGTAACGCCAGGTCGGTCCTTAAACAATGTGGCTTCAGATTCATCTGGACCAAGAATGATGCTGTTTATGCTAAATTCAAGGAAGGCGACTTAGTGTACTCCATCAACTCTCACGCCGATGTCGATAGAATTGCAGGGCTTCACGCTGCCCCTGCTCCCTGATCTCTGGCTCCTGCTGCTTCCTCTATACATCGATTGGACTCTCAACCGGCTATGCCCCAGGATACCTCTCCATCTGACACTGTTAATGAACTCAATGCTTGCTGTCTGAATGTTAACTCTCTCCGCTGCCGACTGGATACCATTAAAAGTTTTCTTAGTTCGCAACCCATAGTCTATCATGTTATTGTAGTCACTGAAACCTGGCTATCCGCTGCCATACCCAGCTCAGTTCTCAATATTCCTCATTACAATTTATTAGGATGTGATCGAAATGTGCATGGTGGGGGTGTTGCCATCTATTATCATGATACTGTCAAGGCCACTATAATCTCTGCCTCAACCACCATCTGGACTGGGAAGCCTGGACATGTTGAATATCTCTTCTGTGAGATCCAGCCGATGGGTTCGTCGCCAGTCTTCGTTGCTGCCATCTATCGCCCCCCTCATGCTCCATTTAATGTCCCAGTGAATTTCACTGAGCTTCTGTCAACTGCACTGGATGGCTACAGTCACAAAATCATCATAGGGATTTCAATACCGACCAACTTGCTGATATCAATCCTGATGCCCATTACGTTCGAACGCTGATGAGTCACCTGTCGCTGCAACTGGTGAATCATGGTGTCACTCACTCTACACTCACATCTTCCACCTGGCTTGATCTCTGCCTTACTGATCAGAATGATTTTATCACTGGGTGGTTCACCTCAGACTGCCCGATGGCTGCAGGACACCACCTGATCTCCGCCTCTGTGGCTATCGGTGGCACTAAGCCTTGTGCATCGGTTATCTCTACTCGTCGTTTATCTCTTCTTCTGAGAGGCTGATGTCATTGACAGTTTTCGGAGGACTCTATTGGGCACTCCAATGCCTCCACAGCCCGATCCTGATGGGTAGGTGGAGATCTTCACGAGTACTTTCTTGGAGTTGGTGGATGCTCATGCCCCGTTACGTCAGATGATTGTCAACTCTACCAAGATTACTCCTTGGCTCGATGACAACCTGAAGATGTCGTATCAGCACGTCCAGTACTTGTACCGACGGTTCAAGCGCAGCAGAACATCCCAACGGCTCGTTGAGTTCCGGCTGGCCAGACGTCTCCATCTCTCTGTGCTTGCTCAGACTCGAACCAAGTACTATCACTCCCGGCTATCTGGTCTGTCTGGCAGGAATCTTTGGAATGAGCTTCGCCATCTTGCTCTTATCCCGGGCTCAAGTTCCAGTCCCTCCGTTGCTGCTGATGTCCTGAACTCCCACTTCGCAGCAGTCTGCACAGTGATGCTGGTAGATCAACCCGAGTCTGACTTAGATCACTCATCATGTAGATTATCTCCCACTTCTAGCAACGTCGGCGCTCCTGATCAGCAGTTTTCTCTCCCCCACGTGAGCTGGCTGAATATCTATGCTGCGATATCTTTCATAATGCCTGGACGAGGTCCATCATTGTCCCGGTGAAGAAAGTCAGTTCTCTCAAACATCCCAGCGACTATCGTCCTATTGCGCTGCTGCCCTTCTTGGCGAAGGTCCTGGAGAGGCTGGTGTTTAATCAACTCTCTTCGTTTCTTCAGGAGCGCAGTTTGCTTGACCCTCGACAGTGTGGATTTCGGCCGGGCCACAGCACTCAAGCAGCATTACTGAGGCTTATCAATGACGTCAGGAGGGGCGTTGATGATCGAAAAGTTACCATTTTGGTCCTCTTCGACTTCTCCAAAGCCTTTAACACAGTCTCTCATTCCCTGTTACTTGCCAAACTCACCAGGCTAGGCCTTTCACCTGGTGCTGTTGCCTGGTTCTGGTATTACTTGACTGGTCGTTCTCAAGCGGTGAAAGGTGAACATGGGCTTTCTTCTTTTGTTGAAACCAATGCAGGGGTACCTCAAGGATCGATCCTTGGCCCTCTACTCTTTTCGCTTTTGAAGCTCGTCATTGAAGCTCGGTATCTTCTTTATGCCGATGACCTCCAGATATATCTTGAATGCGATCCATCTGAGCTCTCCTTGGGCATTCGGCGACTGAATGCTGATATCTCTAGGATCCAGGAGTGGGCTACCGCGAATCGTCTTCAGCTCAATGTCAGTAAAACCAAAGCCATGATCCTGGGAGCCAGACGTTTTGTCAATGCTGTGGATATAGCTGTATTGCCTAGTCTGGGTTATGAGGGTGCAACCATCGAGCTGATTGGTAGTGTGAGGAATTTGGGGGTTATCATTGACAGTAAACTAACCTTCAGAGATCATGTTCAACTCGTCACCTCCAGGATTAACTCTGCATTCTATCAGTTGTACTGCTTGCGGAGTTATACTGATGAACCTCTCCGGAAATTACTTGTCCATGCCCTCATCTATCCTCACATTTTCTATTGCCTGGCTGTCTTCCAAGGTGTAGGCTCAGTACTTGATCTCCAGCTTCAGCGTCTCATAAATAGAGCGGTTCGCTTTGTCACTGGCCTGCCTCGTGATGCCTCAATATCTGCTGCTAGACGTAGTTTTGGGTGGCTCTCCATCTCGGGATACAGAAATTCTATCATTGCTACTATCATGTACCAGGTGTTGAGCACGAGAAATCCTGATTACCTTGCTGAACTCTTTGCTGCATATACCTCCAGCAGACCTCGTCGACTCATCCTAGCATAGCAGACTCTTGTGGTACCAAATTTCCGAACTGATATTTACAGAGCCTCCCTGGCTGTGGGTGGCTCGGAGCTGTGGAATAGCATCCCTGCTGACATTCGGGAGCTGCCCATGTCCTTGGCCTTCAAGCGCCAGCTGAGATCCTGGCTGCGTTCTCGGGAAGAGCAGAGCTGACTGCGTGTGTTTAGCTTATCTCTGTGTTTACTCCTGTGCTTTATCTCTGGCTTATTTCACAATTGCTTTTTCCATTTATACCTCAGCGTTACAGCTTTTTCTGTTTTTCTTTTCGTGCACTTATCTCATATATTTCGCTCAAAGTATTTTTTCTTACCTTTGTATTTTGTTCTGTATGATTTGTTTAACCTTCTAAACAATAAATACCTTATCTTACCCTATCTTATCTTATCTCTCAACCACCCAGAGCAAAGCCAGCAAAGGTGCTGAATGTCTCAACTGGCAGTGCCGTTCCACAGGCTCGCGGATCGAGTTGGCAGTCATGAGCAGACATGACCGCCAATGACTGCTCCATGTGTGAAGAGGAGCATTTCATCGATAAGTGCCTCAAATTCAAGCAGTTGTCGCCGGAAAACAAGAAGGACTTCGTCGAAAAGAAGTACCTCTGCTTCAACTGCTTGGGGAAGCACTCCATTCGTGCCTGTAGGACCACGAAGATGTGCGTTGTGTGTCACAAGCGTCACCAGTGGATGATCCACGTCACACGCCTTCAGAATGGTCCTCTGGAGACATCTCAACCAGACCAGTTGAAGTCTCAAGGTCAGTGGTCTCAGTCTGGTACCCGTCCTATACAGTCCGCTGTTCCGGGGCCTTCGTCAGTGCAGCAGTGATCTTCTCAAATAACGACTTCATTGACAGCGGATCCGGTAACTTCAGAAGGTTCTCTGCGGCCGTCGATGTCAAGTGATTCTCCATCTGTAGCATTATCAGTTCATGAATCGTCATCTCAGCTCAGACCAGGTGTTCTTCTCGCAACAGCGCTAGCTTCTCTCGTTTCAGAGAAAGGATGTTGCTGTGAAGTTCGCATGTTGTTGGATCCTGGATCTGAGTTATCATTTGTTACAGATATTCTTGCGGTAAAGCTAGGTTTGTTGAAGTCTCCACCTTTGCTACCTGTCGTTATTATTGGTGGATCAAGGTCATGCTCAAAAGAATTCTCTCAGTTCTGTCTGAAGTCTCTGCACTCAAACAAACATCTTCAGATTAAAGCCTACATTCTTGACCATCTCACATCATCGTTGCCGTCGTTCTTAGTCTCGGATACTCAAGCTTGGGGCCATCTCGAGGGACTGAAGTTAGCTGATCCGGAATACATGGAGCCAAGACCTATTGACTTTCTCATTGGCACGGATTTCTTCGGATCTATTGTGGAGCCACAGATCATCAAGGGGCCTTCAGACTCCCCTATAGCAATGCACACTAGCTTCGGTTGGGTGGTACTAGGATCTACATCAGCGGTGATTCCAATGGTGGCCAGCTCTAATCACATTGCAATCAGCAACGAGGAACTCTACGACCTTCTCACTTCGTTCTGGCTGCAGGAGGAGGTCCCAACAGCCGAAGATAGTGATCTCACGAACGAGGAGGCAGAATGTGAGGAGTTTTTCCAGTGCACCCATTCACGAGACAGCTCAGGGCGCTATGTGGTTCGCCTGCCTCTTGCACGTTCTCCAACAGAGCTTGGCGACTCTTATGGTCGGGCTAAAGCGTTTCTCTCCAGCCTGTTCCGGAGAATGGAGAGGGATCAACGAACCTTTCAGCTATATAGTGTTTTCGTCAAGAAGTACGAAGATCTGGGACACATGGTGCGTGTTCCAGCCTTAACTGGTTTGGGGAACGCCGGGAGCTTGAAGTTCGGCTGTCGATCTGAGGGGATGACCTTGGCACATGGGGCTTCGGCTTCAGGAGGGTTGAGGGTCCCTGAGGAGAAGCAGTCGAACATTCTGGTCGACCATCGGCCTACTTCGAAAATCTCCGGCACCCTTCGGGTCATCAGTCATAAGTCACCGAAATACGCGCGAATCAGTTTAGGCTTAGCCTCTCACCGTACAGGTCTATCTCGAGCAAATCACCAGTAGCCGTCGTATAGTAGCCATTGGTATTTCAACGTGTAGTAATTCACCGAATATTAATTAACGAGTATTAATCAACATTATTAAGAGTTCATATCGAGAAGTCGATTCAGTCCACTAGCATTCAAAATTGAATACCTTTGTTCAGTACATGAACTCTGTTGATTAAATTCAGTTTAAATTCAGTGACTCACCAAATTAGCGTGCGAAGCCAATCATCAGTGAAAATAGACTCTCACCAGTGAACTTACATATTACCAAAGACTGTACATAAATTTCGACAAAGTGGTTCAATCCCACAAAATAAAGTGTGATCTTTTAAATCCGGCTCATCAGTAATTTTCCCAATTACTCCCTCCACATTTTCATCCCACACCCACCCTAAACCTAGTCTTTCACCAACCAAGTTTTTTTTGCAAAATGCTGTCAACCCGTTTGTTTACGAGATAATTGCAAAAATATTTCTTTTTAGCAAAATTCCACCAAAATAAAAAAACCAGAGCTCTGGGGATTCCGTAAACAATTAATAATTATTAATTGTTTGCTCAAAGCGAGAGAGGAAAGAATCTTTTTTTTTCTTTCGTAATCCTCTCCAAAAACATAAGAGCGACAGAGCAGTATCGTTCCTTCTCTTTCTCGCTCACGAGTGGAAGGGGAACTCTATCCCGCCTCCTGCTTAGTGGAAGGGGCATTGCGCACACTGATGCGCACAGCCACACGGACGTACAGCTGCTGAACGCTGTAGCGTCATTGGCTGTCCTTCTCACCCTAATAACTCCTCAGGGGTGCTTCAGATCAAAAAGTGGAAAAGGACTTTTCTGTTCAGAATCACCCCGTGAACATGCCGGTTTCGGATCGGCATGTACTTCAGGGACACCCTGTATATGTATGTATGTACGTATCTGTTTGTTTTTCAAATTTAGTTTTTCGACGATAATTCAAAAAATAATTGCCGAAATCTTTTCAATTATGGCTTAAAATATTCTTTTGGCTGTTATCTCAGTCGAGTTCGAAGATAGCGGCGATCGCCTCATTTGCTTTGAAATTATAGCCTAAAAAGCATTTAACCGAGGTTTAATGAGAGTTTAATTACGGCTTAATCAGGGTTTATCCAATGTTTCGTCAAGGTTAAACCTGTTGAGCTGTTGATCAAGATTTAATCAACAGGTCCCGCGGTCAAGCCAAGGTTGACCCGTAGTCAACCCAAGGTTGACCCATAGTCAACCCAAGGTTGACCCATAGTCAGCCCAAATTTGACCCGTGGTCAAACCAAGATTGAACCATGGTCAAGCCACGCCTGACCCATGATTAAGCCAAGGTTGATTCATAGTCAAGCCAAGGCTGAACCATGGTCAGGCCAAGGTTGATCCATGGTCAGGCCAAAGTTGACTCATGGTCAAGCCTAGATTGACCCATGGTCAAGCCAAGGTGGATTGATGGTCAAGTCAAGGTGGACCCGTGGCCAAGCCAATATTGACTCGTGATCAAGCCAAGGTTAGCCCGAGGCCAAGCTAAAGTTGACCCAAAGTTAACCAAATGTCAATGGAGAGTTGGCCCAAAGTTGACTCACGTTCAACCTTGATCTTGATCTTTCTAGGGTCTCATGAATGGCCAAGAGTCGATTTTCACTTTTTTCGCTTTTTTGCGGCTCCTGTTCCCATTTAATTTTAAAAATTTCCGTTCACTAGAAATTTCATTTCAAATTATCTTCGAAAAAAAAATCTGTTAAAATTGTCCTGGGATTAATTTTCAATTCCGAAAAAGTTGATTGGAAATAAAGAGATCACCAAGAATTACACATCCAATTCTCAGTTTTCAAAAAGGTTGATAATATTGAGAGGGGCTAGCATAAAATGCATTGTAGTCCTCGTTGCTCCAATCCTCAACTAACTCTCAATTTTCTCTCAAACACTGGAAATTATTGAAAGCCCAACTATTAACTTGGTTTGCCAGAGTCATTCCTATAATTTTCGTGAAATCCGGAAAATTTTCTTGGAATTTTCTCGAAAATCTAAAAATTTTCAAGAACCGCGTATGAAAAATTTTACTAGAAAAATGTAGCGAATTTGTTAAGAATTTCTATTATGAATTTTCTACTAGTTTTTGGCCGATTCTAGTAAAATGTTCAATAGAATGTTGTCGTGTTGGAAATTTCAAAGAAAAATAAAATTAATTCAACTCAAATGTTCAAGATTTATTTAATAAAATTAGAAATTCATTCGATTTATAAAAAGAATAATTCGAGACATCTGGTGTTATCTTTCAGCTCGAACGAAAATTTCGTTCGTGCGAACGCTGACACAAACAAATCGCTGAATCCACGCACGCCTCGAAATTAAAAGAAAAATAGAATAAAACTTCAGAAAAAGAAAAAAAAGGAGAATACGATCGCATGATCGAACAACGTGATCATTTCCCTAACAATTGTGCAGACAAATCAATTCCCCCATAGCAACGATCCGTGGAAAATCCACCATAGCTAAAATCAGTCTCGTCTCAAGTGCAGAACGGTGCACAACAACTATAAGGTCGAACTTTTTGAATTTTCATCGGTTCTTTTATTTCGGAGATAGCCAAATACTTTTCCGTCTTACCGGTGATCTATAAATTCAAGTACACGAGATTTCACAATTACGCAGAACTCCGTAGTAAAATCTCGCCGAGAATAGGTCGACAGGCTGCGAATTGCCTCTTTTATTCCGAAGTGTGTTCTAGTTAAAAATAATAAAACACTCTGATAAAACGAACAATAATAAAAAAAAAGAATATTTTCTCAAAATCTAAGATAAAACAGTCGTGTGAAAATTAAAAAGGCAGAGCGACGTAGTACTTTTGGATTAGGTGCAAAGCTGTTTCCTAAGTGAGTAAATGAGCAAAATTTTGTCAGATAAATAAAAACGTGGTTAATCTGGCGCAATTTTTGATTGTAAACGTTTTGCGATATCACGATTTTAGAGTAGAAAATTAAGTAATTGATCAAAATCCCTAGTAGAGAAGTCGCTCAAAATTTATTGTTTCTCAACCAAAATTGTATTTCAATTCCATGTAAAATTTAACATTTTTCAAGATTCAAAAATATTGATGAATAAATTATTCAAAATAAGAAATCACCGAGTCTTCAACTTAAAATAGAAAATAGAAACCTCCCCCATTGATTTCAGTAGACCATCAGATGCACCTAGTGCTTCAAAGGTAAGGACCAAAAACAAAAATAAATATTATTTTATTCCGATAATTGGAAAATAGAAGATAACTCATTTAATATTTAATTAAATATTATTTAATTCGTTTTTAGAATTTTTCTGTTATCACAGTAAAATTGGTGTCAAAGTGGGATCCTTATCCTGATGATTAAGAATATTTGGTGATTTATTGCTCTTTTCATTTATTATTTTTGAAGAATTTTGAGCTTCTTTTGTCTTCCAATTTCTTTAGAAAAACAAAAAGTCTATAACTCTTTTGCGCAGAGTGGTTTGATCCAATTTTCAATATGACCGCGGAAGCACAGCTTGCCGAATTGCAAAAGTTATACAGCAAACTTTCGGAGGAAAGAAAAACTTTGCAAAAGGAGAATGCTAGACTGGGAATATTACCTGGGAATATTACGAACAATATTACCGTAAATCCCGAGCACGCAGACTACCTTCGTGTCAAAGATTTGTTAGATACCATTCCAGAATTCAAAGGGAATTCCAGAAATGAATTAGAATTCGCAGAATTCAAGAGAGCTGTGAAAGCTTGTAAAAATCGCGTTGGAGATAGAAATCAGGACCTAATCTATTCCCTAGTCTCTAAGGTCAAATACCCAGCTTTAGCCTACCTGGAGGGAATTGTCCCTGAATCTGCTAATCAATTATTGGAGGTCCTGGGAACAAAGTATCGAGTTCGCCGTAGCGAGTCCTATTATGAGGGTATCATTAGCAATATGACACCTCGTCCTAATGAAGAGGCTGACGATTTTAATCTCCGTTTACAATATGTTCTCAAAAATGTGAAAGCATCCCTAGAGAGTTCCTTCCCAGATGACTTCGAGGCTCTTCTCAGAGTTCTCGAAAGATTTTGCCTGAGTAAATTTGAAGATGTCCTCTCAGATGGGTATCGAACTGAAATCAGACGTGCGAACTGTAAGACCCTGAAAGAGCAATTCCAAGTAATAAAGCCTCTGGTCGAACAAGATCGTCTGCTCTCGAGAAAACAGAGATTTGCTATTCCTAAAACCCCCAATTTTCCTCAAACTCGTTTCCAACAGAGTTCAAATTTTCAGCCGAACCGGTCGAAATTCAACAATTTCCAGCAACGTCATCCCAATAATGGAAAATTGTATCTAAACTATGCAAATAACAGTCAATATTCGAATGGATTCCAACCTCGGAATTCCCGGCAGAATCAGACTTCTCGATTCCAAACAGCTGTCAGAACGCTCATTCGTTCCCCAGTAATCATACGGGCATGCCGAACATGGACCAGGGCCACATCGTGGCTGCTGCAATGAAAATTCTCCTCGAAAAAGCGGGCCAGTCTGTCCATCAATGTAATTGCAAATTTTGCGGTCATGTTTCCCAAAATTCTCAGTTACCCAAAGATCTGGTAAGCCAATCAACCGGAGCTAGCCATAGCCCAAATTGCGCCCCTCAATATGGACAGAACAATTCCAACTATTCTCAGTTCAAGAATAATCCTGGATACAACAAGAGTTACAGAAGCAATTCCAAGGATCGTATGAATGCAAATCGATCCAGTCATAGCAGAAGCAGCTCCTCTGATCGTAGTAGCCATCAACTTCAAATTGTCCCGACGGCTTCAAACCAAGCTCAGAATCATTTAAACGGCCAAGCTGCTCACTTCCGACAACAGGAAGTGAGCAACAAATCATCACCCAAGATGGTCCAAGTGAGGGAGTTGATAAATCAATAAAAATCAGACCAGATCAACCCCCTAAGTCTTGTCTTGTCGACACAGGGGGAAAAGTTAATTTAATATGGATCAATGCCTTAAGTGTAAACTCATACGTTGGCCAATCAGACAGGACCTTCATTGTTGGAATGGGACCGGGTATTCTCGAGACTTATGGAGCCCTTGAAGTAGATATCAGGAGGATCAAATTCAAGTTTTATGTGACCTAAATTCCTCCAGGGGGATACGTGGGAATGATAGGTCGTGATTTCTTATCCCAATTGAAGGCGACGATTTCATACTATACGAACTCCCTAGCTATTGCCGATAAACTTTTTCATTTCGACCTAACTGCCACAACCGAACTAGACAAACTTCCAATTTGCGCTACTGGGCTCGAGCCCCGAGTTAAACTAGAGAGTCCTCATTTGAAGGGAGGAAAACGGTTATTCCTTATCGACACAGGCGCTTGCTTAAACTTAATATCCGCTCAAGCTCTGTGCGACGGGTGTAAAATCACCTCGTGTCCTCCAAGGTATCTGTTTGAGATAGCAGGGGGGAAGGAATACGTTTCAGGACTAGTGAAGTTGGATATTGGAGGGGTACCCACTGAGTTTCACGTTGTAAATAATTTCCATGAAAAACTATACTGCGGGATCATTGGGAATCATTTTCTAATCAAAGAGCAAGCTGAGATTTCTTTCCATCTAAATACCCTGGCCATGAAATCCTTCCCACTCCAAACCATTCATTTCTATCAACCATTGAGTCCAGGTAAGAAATTCCTCTTACACCCAAAATCCGAAATGCAAGTTCCCATTCAGGCTAAAACAAATGTTTGCAGAAACGGATTTGTCAAAAAGAAGGAATTGCAGAAGAAAGTCACACTGATCGACCAAGAGGTAGAAATTGATGAGGATGGAGTATTTTGGGGCAATGTCTGCAACGAGAATGATGAGGAGAGACAGCTGAGAATCCCACCACAGGTCGTTGAACCATTGGCCGTCGCAATGTCATTTTTCGATGTCAATCGAGAGCGCCTCCAATACCCATGCAACATTTTCGGCGAACCAGATTTTGTAATTGAGCTAAAACCAGAGAATATCAACGCAGATATACGTCCAGGAAAGATCATCGCAGTATTGCTAAAAGTCACGACAAATGAAGAAAAAAAGAGAATTGTTGTTGAATTAGCCGAGAATTATTCTGATGCGTTCACCTTGCCGGGCGAGCCCAGTGGAAAGATCAAGGGAGCGACATGCCCAATCAGAAGGACAGACAACAAACCGGTCCACGTGAAACAGTATCGTTTCCCTGAGAAGTTGGAACTTGAAGTAGTTAGACAAGTCGCGAAACTACTGAAGCATGGGGTCATCGTCCCTTCAGTGTCTCCTTACAATTCACCGTTGTGGATGGTACCAAAGAAACTGGATTTTGAAGCAATTCAGAAGTGGAGAATGGTCGTTGACTTTAGAGCAATAAACAAAAAGACTATAGGTGATGCGTATCCATTGCCGAACACCCGCTCCATTATGTCCAGGTTTGGGGGCTGTGATACCTTCACCACGCTACACTTAGCAGCCGGATTTCACCAGATAAAAATGCACCCAGAAGATCAAGAGAAGACAGCATTTTCCACCCACAATGGGCACTACGAGTACGCATACATGCCCTTTGGACTGAAGAACCCTGGAGCTGTATTTCAGAGAGCCATGCATGGAATGCTTGGAGACCTGATAGGTAATGGAGTCCAGGTATACCTCGATGACATCATTATCTACTCATCAGGCCTGGAAAGACACCGGGAGCTCCTGGAGAGAGTCCTCCAGAGGATTAAAGAATATGGAGCAACAATTCAAACCGAGAAATGCCAAATGCTTCGAGATGAAGTCTGTTTCTTGGGGTACGTGATCAACAAACAAGGTGTAAGACCTGACCCGACCAGAGTTGACGCTATACTAAGAATAAACACACCAAAGGATAAGAAAGATATAAGGAGTTTCATGGGTATGTGCAACTACTTTCATCAATTCAAGCAGTGGTATGCACCCAGGGCAAAGCCTTTGACAGATCTGACGAAGAAGAACAGAGAATGGACATGGGACGCCAGAGAGCAGTTAGCGTTTACCGAGCTTCAGCTATTTCTGTCTCAGGAACCCTTCTTAAGACATCCAGACCTTTCCAAGAATTTCATGGTGACAGTCAACTCATCCCCAATCGGAGTTGAAGCAGTACTAACTCAAGTTGACGATGAAGGAGTTGAGAGTCCCGTTGCATACGGCTCAAGACACCTGCAAGACGTAGAAACACGTTACACGGTAGATGAACGTGAGTGTTTAGCAGTAGTATTTGCCCTCAATCATTTCAGACCATTTCTACATGGACAACACTTCGATCTGTACGCCTCGTCTGCTGCAGTTGTATGGTTACAAGACCACCTAGATCAAACTACGAGAAAAGCAAATTTCAAGACAAAAATATCTGGGTTCGACTTTACAGCTCATCATCGTACGCAAAAGACCAAGCAGATTGCGAAAGTCCTGGCTTTCAATCTAGTGGATCCACCTGAGACGGATGAGGAGGCCAGAGACTTCGACTATTTCTCCATCATGATGTACAAGAAGGCGTCGAACCAAATGGAGCCATTGACATCCAAGCACCAGAAAGATCCACCCAAGGAAAGAGGCAGGCCACCAGGTTCCAAGAATAAGACGGAGGTTAGCAGGCTACTGGACAAACCTCAAACAACTCAAAAACCTACACCTGAATGCCGTTTTCAATCAATTCCGACAGAAATTCCAACTAAGCTACCTGAGAGTGCAACGATGCCTGGAGCACTTACCAGACGTCGCCTCCACTCAGCACTGACCCGATTACCACCACTGAAACAACGGGCTACACCAGCACCAACCTCCATTACTCCAGAAGAAGAGGATCACAGACAAGAGGAAGAAGGTCCACAAGCTTCAAGGCCACCACACAATTCTGATGACGAAGTTTTTATCGATGTCCCTAGACCATCAGAGGATCCTGCGATCATTGTATTGAAGAACAATCCCAGAATGGAGTTGGATTCCGAATCAGACGAAGAGTTAGATGAACCCCCTCTATAGGATGTCCAGGAAATAGTTGATGGTGAAGAAGATGTAGATGCAGAGGAAGGCCTGAACCTCTCACCAGACTTTCTGAAGTCAACGCAAGAGTCCTTTGCAGACCTCGATAAATACGTAAAAAACAAGGAACAAACAAGACTGGCAGAGTCGCACGAGGAATAGACGACTGACTCGCAAGAGGACTCACATCAAGATGACGCCAGTAATGAAACAATCAAAGAAGAAGCTGACAAACTCTATAAACAATATTTAGAATCAATGAGCAAGTTCACAAATGAAACAGAAGTGGAAAAAGCAACCAACAAATTACAAGAATCTGAGGAAGCTGAAGGAAGGAATTGGAGAACTG